TACTAATAATATTCTCTACTTAATACCTATACCACAAACTTCTATATCTGCAGAAAAACTTTGAGATCTTCACCTAACAATTGCTACTCATAAAGTTAGAGGTTTTAACAATATAACCAAAAGAGAAGCATGGCAGAATTATTGTCTCTACAATAATATTCATATTGCCTGTATTACTGAAACTAAAATTGCCAACACTACAAACCTTCATTTTTGTAATAACAACTTATTTACCTACTTTTAGGCTAACTCTGATAGCTTAGCTGAAAGAACTGCTATTATGATCCACAATCATCTTAAACCCTACATTCACAACCGCCAAACACATCCTGATAGAGCAAATGCTCTTGATCTTTTCTTCAAAAGCAATATTAAACTCTGCATCATAGGCATTTATCTTTCATCTACAGATTTGCATAAACGTAATAAAACACAAAACACAGTTATTGTATAGATTCAATAACTCAATCTTCACTCAACCATACTTGGAAACTTTAATATACATAATAATGTTTTTAGTACATCATCTAAATATCATCTTATCAACTATCTACACCACTCTAATATGTATAATCTTGGTGCATATACTAATAATACACACTATACATGATCAAACAATATTAGACAAAGTCACATTGATTATAATTGGATAGACTCATTTAATATTCAGTTCTTTTTTTCATATATCCTTGACAATAGCCATACCTTAACATCTAGTGATCACTCTATTCTTTTATCTTCCTGGACTTTTACTAATGCATATAGCAAACCTCCACGCTATCATACTGGCATCTGTCAAAGAATTTTTAACTACAAAAGCATGTCACCTGAAAAGTGGACAGAATTTTCTAACAACCTTACTGACAACCTTAACTCATACTGCACTCCTCTCAGTATTGATACTAATGAAAGTTTTGAAACCACTTGATACAAAATTGAACACTTAATTATTAATGCAGCAATATATACAATATCTAACAAATAACTAAAAAATGTAGTTATAATCATCAATACACACCTCACTATACTTCACTCTATCTATCACTTAAAGAACTCGGTCATATAATCAAAATTGTTAAAAATAATAATAATAGCATAGACACCAACCTTATCAATTCCAAAATTCACAATATCAACTCAAGGTCTCACTGTGATCTTCAAGTATTTACTTCTTCTCAATACTTTTTATGAATTCAACATGCACAAGAAATCTGGAAGCAACTTTATAATGCTCGCCAAATTGAAAACTCTCTTTTACTTTAACAACAAATCAAACAAGCAACTAAGAAAAGATACAAAACACTTTCTGCAAAACCCAAACAAACAATCAATAGTATTCTTAACCATTACCAAGCTTTTATTCACTTTTCTAATCTTAAACTTCCAAACTAACTTATTACAAACCCAAACTTTATTAAGCATATACAATCACATTTCCTTAATTAGACAGCTTATCGACCTATCAATCAAAATCTTTTCAGCAACTTCTGGTCTGCACAATACCAACCTCAAACACATATCAATACTCAGTGGTATACCTCTCTTACTCTTCTTATTTCAGAAGAAGTATCTCAAATAATAGCAAAACTTCCTAATGGAAAAGCTTGTGGTTCTACAGGCATTAGCTATAAAATGCTTAAGCATATAGGTACTACTTGCATCAAAGCTTTAACTGCTCTATTTAATCAATGTTTTGTCTCAAGCCATATTTCTAAGCAATAGAAGCACAGCAAAATATATCCTATTCCAAAGCGCAATACATTTAATAGTAATCTTAACCTCACTCGTCCTATAAGCCTTATTGAATACACTCATAAAGTTTATACAAAATTCTTACCAATAGAATTAGCAATATATTCTCACAACACCTAATTCTTTCACTATACAACTATGTTGCCTTACCTCATAACAGCATCTCTATACCTATTCATATACTTAACAATCTTACTAAAGATATACTTTGTAATCAGAAAATAATTTGGCTTTTATCTCAAGATATACTCTCCTTCAACAGTCACTTCAGTATCTTGCTCTTCCTACCTCTATTATAAATATTATAATCAATTTGCTTACTAATCGATAAAACCAAGTAATTACAAATCTGGACCTTACTCTCTCATACCTTATACTTAATGGTATTAATCAGAGTAAAACTACCAATCTAATCCTTTTCATATTATTACTAATACCCAAATCTAGATAAGCTTTGGCCACTCTAGTTGGTTTAGATCACAGATAAACTAGTCTAAGCTTCTATTCTTCTTATAATATTTTAAAAGTAGATTAGTGCTTTATGTAATAATCTCAATTAAATATTCAATAAAGATAGAAGTATAGCCTTATTATTAATATTAAAAAAAAAATTTTTAAAATTAAGCAAATTTCACTTTTATTTTAAAATAAGCTATTTGTAAGATTTTTATATAACTTTTTAGCCAAAAATAATAGCAATACATAATATATATAAAATATACTTTTAAACTAAATTTAAACCAGAATTGTAAATAGATAATAGACAAGCTAATAGACTCAATAGATAGTCTAATAGTTCAATGGTGTTTAATTAAGTCATTAGACAATAGACAAATTATTATATAATTTAAAACAATTTGATTAGTTAATTTTAGTTATCATCATCTTGCTAATATATAAAAAAATTAGTTTAAAACCAATAGACATTAGATTCATTAGACTAATAAAATTTCAATAGACAATTAGACAATTAGATAATAATTTTTTTTGATTAGACTATGTATATTCACAACTCTGCCTAAACTGAATCTAAATTTAATTTGAAAGTTTAATATTAAACTTAAATAAAATTTTTTAAAAAATATTTATTTAAATTTAGTTTAATTCTAAACTAAACTTGAATTTAACTAAAAGTTTAGTTTAGTTTAATTTATAGAAATACTATACCAAAGTTTTTTTGAGTGATTTCAAAATTTTCTGAATTATATAAAGTTATTAATTTTGAATCAGTATTACTAAATCACACTAGTGGTATTGAACACCACATCAATTTAACCAATAAAATTGTTGATCTGCAGTGTAATATCAAGATCAAATATAATATAAAATCAAAACAAATTTTGTTTTTTTTTAAAAAAACTTTAATAACTTAAAATTTTGCTTATGAAATCACCTTTTATGTTCTAATTAAAAAAATTTCTTGCAAAATTTTGGTATAAATTATGCCTTGCCTCATCCTAATCCTCAAACAAACTCTAATATTAAAGAAGTATAATTTTTAATTTAATAAAAATTATTTTAATCTACAGATATTACTGGTGTTAAACACCACTAGTTTGATTTATAATAACTGTTTTGAATAATCAATTTATATAAAGTTGTAAAATAAATTTAATATTAAAATTTTATATTTAATTTTTATTTATTAAGTTTTTAACAAATTTTAATAATTTACTATTATTAAAATCAGAAAAATATATTTTACAAATTTTATATAATAGTTAAATTAGTTTATTTAATAAAAATTTTTAGATGTTCTATAGAATAGATAAGTAAACTCTGCAAGCTCCACAACTCTACTATTAAAAAATTATTAATAGATTACTAATTATTGTCACAGATTAAAATAAAATTTAATCAAAATGAAATTTTTCTGTTTTTAAAAAAAATTTAAAATTTTTTGAAAAATATTTTTTGGGTTCTTTTTAGCATTAGAAGTAGAGTTTAGAGTTAGATTTATTAATAAATAAGTATATTTAGGTTTTATAAGCTCTAAGAGTGGATATGAGAGGTCCCCAGTTTCATTTTGATCAGATTTTATTTTAATCTGTAACAATTATTAATGAATTTTATTTTTTATATTGCCCATCTATTTTATAGAATACCCAAATTTTTTAAAAATTAAATATAAAAAAAATTTGCTATTAAGTTTATAAAAATAGTACTCTTTATTAGTGTTATTACAGACAGTTGTAAGCAATAAATTTAGACACTTTGAACAATTTTAAACAATTAAATAAATTAAAATTACTCAAAATTGTATTAAAATAACCTATTTTAATTTTTAAATAAAATATGTTTAGCATCTAAAAAAATATATAACTATATATTTTTTAAACAAATTTATTAATTATTAAAGCTTGAACAGTTCTAAACAATATTAAAAAAGCTTTTGAATAGTTAAAATATACATTACTACTCTCTACTCTTAAACAAGAATAACTTAATAAAAACTTAACTAAATTTAATAAAAAAATTTTTAAATAATTTTTATTAGGATTAATATATTTGTAGCCATAGGCTACTGTAGCCATAATTAAAATAACCCATTTTTTTGTTAGTTAGGGTTAGGGTGAGGCGAAGATAGTGTGCGGGTAAAAAGGTGTGTGTATTTTATAGTAAAATTTAGCAAGTAATTTTTTTTGTTAGAACCCAATAAGTAGTTTCTTATACTCAATTTTGAATTATAACTGATTTTTGACAATTTTTGACAAAACAAACATTGTTTTGAATTTCTCTGATTGTGTTACGTTACACCTGATCTTTAAATTTGATTGGCTTTTATGGAATGTGGTTACAGTAGCCATGGCTACAAATATATTACTCCTTTTTATAAATTTGTAAAATTAATTTAAAAATTTTTTTACTAAACTTGATTAAGTTTTTGCTAAGTTATCCTTGTTTAAAGTTTTTAAAAAAAAACTTAATAAAAAATATTTGTTTGGTTTCTATTGACTCAACCTTATATATAATTATAATATTAATTATATTTTTATAAAAATTAATTTTGTTTGGCAACCAATTCTGATTGGTTCAAATATGCTAGAATATTAACTAACATATGCTAAATGACCTTTTAAGATCATTTGGGCCTTGAAATAACAAATAACTAGTTAGTTGTCATTTGGGTCATTTCAGATTATTTACTATCCCTGCTAATATCACTATCAACATGAATACAAAAGGGGTCCAAATGGGTTGATATTAGCGAGGGGTCAAGTGTAGTTTTATTTTTTTCAATAAATTGAATGCTAACCAGCCTCTGTAACCAACAAGCTTATATAGATCTAAATAGTTAAATTTACAACTTCAACAATATATAAAATGTAACAGTATTTTAAAAAGTAATATACTATAATTTCACGAAATAACGAACATGGGCATTATTTAGAAAATCGTACCCTATGAAAATAGTATAAATTATTGTCACGGCTGAAGCTTGAAACGGCTGAATCTTGAAATTAGGGACCTTGATTTAAAATTATGAACTCTACCGAAATCCACTTGTATTCTTTTATTATCAAAACTAACCCTAAAACCTAATCTAACTATTAAAAAAAGCTAAAAAATGCACCCCAAAAATTTCTAAAAATTTCATATTAAAATAATTAAATTTCAAGTTTCAGCCGTTTCAAGCTCCAGCTGTTTCAAGCTTCAGCTGCGACAATTATTTTAAACTAATGCCAATGCCAATGCGCATGCGCGTCCCAAAATAACTCGCACCACGTATAAGGGAAGCAGGTACATAATGATTTGAAAGACCAGGTTTGGAAAAATTATCTGTCATAAATAACGTACTTTATACGTATAACGCGCATATATCAGATTAATTTTAAAATATACTGTTAATTGCATACTTTTATAAAAATTATAATACATTTGAAACAAAAAAATTATATATTAACAATAAATTTATATCTTTAAGGCACTATTGGCAATTATACAGGTTTAGACAGCCTTTCATATGGCCAAAACCTTGTTAAACCTATTAAAGATTGTCCAAAAACCATCTTTACTTTAAGATAATAAATTTATAAATTTAATTAATTGTAAACGCAGTAAGTTTAATATAATATTTGCCAATAGGGACTTTAATGAAATAGAAAGATTTACTTGGTAAAGTTGCTTATATAGCATAATTAGTTTGAATGAACAATGATATCTTAATATTTTCATACACCTAAAGCATTAAATCGACCCATGACCTTTGTTATATCGAGCTTTCAATTTATCAATCTACATAGTCAAATTATAATAAAAAAAGATAAGGGTTTAATAAAATTTTATGTTACGCTGTTTTTATGATACAGAAGAATACCGTGCTACATAAATCCAATTGCTAGTATCGATTACAAAAAATGTAGCTTGGTTATGTCAAAATCACGTGTAGTCTAAAAATTCGCGAAAAATAGGAACATCATAAATACAGAAATAACAAGATTTTATTATGCCAACTACAGTTTGATGAAATTTAGTTTTATGAGCATGTTTAAATTAAATATCGAATACCAAGTAAATATGACGATCGATCGACATAACCTGTCACAGATTTCAGACGTGCTACATTTTCTTTTTGTGGGCGATATTAGATGATTCTATATTTGGAAAACAATATAAATTCACAAAAAAAGGTTATTGTTTACAATGATGTATTATACGACATTATATACATTCGACAAAAATTAATAAATAGATCCAACATTCATTAAAATTCAATTTGGTCCATCTCTTTTCTTCTTTTGACAGGAAAAAATCCACAGTGGGAATTACCTAGACTTAGGACCCAATCCCAATTTCCTTTCTACTCGAAATATCCTCATACACTTTTAACGAATCATACATTTAATTGTATTTTTTGTCTTTCAGAAGCTGGGCTTCAAAGGCTATTTTTCGCAAAAAATTAAAAGAATTAGTGGACAAATCTTGTAACTAATAATTAATCGTACGAGTATTATTTGTGCATTTACCACCGTTATACTACAGATGTCATTCTTCAAGAGATCACAAAGTAGCACTACGTTGATAAAAAAAATAATTGTCATAATCCTATTATTTTACTTCGTTGAAAAAGCTTCAGCACATGGATATATTGCCGACCCAAGGATCCGAATGTTCACTTTTGATAACGAACTTTTACAAATGACAGCTGGACCAACAACCGAACAACCATGTTCCGGGTACGAACCAGGACCCATCGTTGCAACATATAAATCTGGTCAAGTTATTCCTATAACATGGACAATTTTTACAGCTCATGGTGGCACCTGTAGCGTTGAACTCTCGATAAATGGCAAAGATTCTGAATTTCAAGAAATAAAATCATATTCAAATTGCGCAGATGAAATTGGTACATTTAATGATACTGTACAGTTACCAACTGGAATAGCGTGCGATAAATGCACATTCAGGTGGGTGTGGAATTCGGCATTAAATGGTGAATTGTATCTACAGTGTGCGGATATTAAGATTGAAGCTGAAAATAATAAGTCTACGAACACCGTACCACTTACAACTACATTATCTACTCCACTTACAACTACATTATCTACCCCACTTACAACTACATTACCTACACTACCGATTTTGAAGACCATATCATTAACTTCGAATACCATAATGACACCTACCTCTACTAAATTTCCAACGCGCACTTCTTCAACTACTAAACCTAAAAAATCAACGTGCACTCCTTCAATTACTAAACCTAAAAAATCAACGTGCACTCCTTCAATTACTAAACATAAAAAATCAACATGCACTCCTTCAATTACTAAACCTAAAAAATCAACGTGCACTCCTTCAATTACTAAACCTAAAAAATCAACGTGCACTCCTTCAATTGCTAAACCTAAAAAATCAACGTGCACTCCTTCAATTGCTAAACCTAAAAAATCAACGTGCACTTCTTCAATTGCTGCACCTACAAAAAATTATAAACCATGTACGCGTAGCTCAAACAAATATAAATTATATACAACAGTGCATCGTTCGAAGAAATCTTGCCCAAAAAAGTATAGAAGGTATAAAAGACATTATCGATCAAACAAACAATGTTCAGAAAAACATAAAAGAGTACTATTAATTTAACGTATTTTTGCGAAAAATTCTACATATGTCCACATTCCTACAATTAAATAATATCACGTTTCCTGTCTAGGTATTCAATTAAACCATTTGGATTTCTCCTGTCACGTTCATATTTTAGTTCATGATATTTTTATTTAATGTAAAAATTAATTTTTTCTATAATTTTGTTGGCATGATATGCTCTTGGGCTCATTTCTCTCACAGCTAAAAAAGGAAATTTTTAAATTAAATATATTGTGCATAAAACGTTAAGGTGATCCATTGCAGGACAATATGTTTGTGCACATTTAGTGATTTTTGTCATAAAGCACTTTTAAATGAATTAATTTTCCAGTAAATATTACATAATATAAATCATGTGAATAATTATTGGTTTCCATTGTCTAAACCTTTGTTTCATTTCTACTTTTGTTTGCTTACGCAGCCTATAATTAAAATTATCCATGATACACTTACTATATATTGTTAATGTTTGAAACAGGCACCCAGTTACAAGCAGTGTTGTACATGAAACAGTTTAGACAAAGACGAGACAATTCCAATAGCTCAAAAAATCTATTAAGATAACCTGTTATCGATTAATTATTTAATTTTATATATGTTGTAAGTGGGAACGAAATTTAAGTGGATTTGGAATTTCTTAAAATGTTAAGGTTAGGGTATAGGTTTATATAGAATAAATTCCACCTCAAATTATAATTTCATTAAATGAAACTAAAAAAATCCTATTGGCTGGATTTTGCCCTAACCAATAAGATTATCTAATTTCACTATCATCTACTCACTTCAATTTGCCTTTTAAATAAAGCTTCGGTTGCATTATTTATTTTTTAATAACATATAATCATTTACAACTACATATAACCAATATCTAACTTCTAATTTAGTTTCGATACCCATTCAGTCTAAAAAGTTCGATTTTACATGAACCTGAGCCGAACTAATAGAAGTCGTTAATTATACCACAATACAGCAATATTCACAGAAACTGCATCTTACATGGCGTGTGCTCTGTTTTACACATAAATGTATAAAAGCTTTTAGTATTGTCTTTAATATATTCCTAAAAAGAATTATAATTCTGTTGTATTGTACAATGATAATTATTATGTTAACGGAATAAAACATACTTGTTCAATCTAGATTAGATTTTCGCATCCAAACAACTTTTCGACTTGTTGATCCGAACAGACACAGTATCCTTATTTCTATGATTGGCCTACTAGAACTGAATTTACTTATTGTTATAATTAATTAGAGTAATATGACGAATTTTTGATTTTTCATTTTTTTTGTCTAAAAAGTCACACGCGCATATTCACAATCAACGTAAACTACTTCGTTTCTTCTGCTTTTACAGGCGAACCATTACAATGCTAAAATTTCAATAGATATCTCTTCCTTTTATGTCGATGAAATTGCCAAATTTGTTTGGAGAGTTGCATATATACTGTATCGGTAGTGATTTGAACCGGCTAGGCCTTAATCGGGTAACCGACCTGAACCGAACAAATTCTGCATAATCGGCTAACCCGATATAATCGGTTACCCGATATGATCGGTTGATCTGACATAATCGGTTGAACCGTATTCAATTTTTGTGGCTTAGAAATACGTACGTACGTATTCGTTGAGCTTCTTTATTTGCTTATAAAAACTTTTGCATATAAAGCCATTTTTTTTGTCTGAAGAAAAATTTTCAATAAGTTCAACAAACAACCTCCGGTTAGCTCAGTTAATTAGGTTACTCAGCTAATTTGATTAACCGTTTGGTTGACCCGGCTAATTCGGTTGGTCAGGGTCAACCAGGGTTGGCACATTTGTCCATTGGTATGAATGGACCCCAGGTTCATTGACCAGTTCCATTGGTTCCATTGGACGGTCACTATTCCAATGGACCAATGGACAATAATTATATAGCTTTTATAAATGAGTTTAGAATATTATACCACGTGAT